TCATTACAGCCAAAATTGATCACTTAATAAACTGTATTGTAACTTAGTGCTTAAACAGAGGGTGAATGAATAACTTTTTTTTCTGAAATTTCACTTTGTAGTCAGTGATTCAGAAGCTACTATTTGTACCAGAATTAATCTGCTTTTCTATAATTTTCCTCTCTTACTACCAGGAGTGATGTCTGTGTTTGTGTATTTATCCAGCTGTTAACAGTTTTGACCCCCCAGGATTTAGCTGGCCCTGTAAATGCTAGAGTGCATATGCAGGGAGACACTGCAGTTGCATTTGGGTGCTTGTAAGCTACTTTGTTGTTCTAAGCTACTGCATGCTTGTTTTCGTTATCTCTAGTTCCAGGTTTTATATGTGAAGGTATATTCAGAGGTATTCATGTTATGTGGCCTTTTGCAGCTTCAGCCAAACAGTGCGTCTGGAAGTGGTGCTTTGGAACATGATCCATCTTCTATTTATTTGCGCATCCCTGCCGGTGAAGCTGTACCCGGTCCCCTTCCTTTAGGAGTATCTGTCATCGATGCATCTGTGGCTCTCTTCGGTGTGGTTTTTCCTCATGTCTCTTACAAACATAGGTTGGTTTACATCAGTGTTCAATTTCAGAATCTAATGCCTTGTTCTCTGGATAGCATTATGTTTTATTTGTTTTTTTTTTTTTTTTAAATAAGAATCTACTTTGATATCAACTGTTTTTGAATTCAGAGTTCAGTATTTGGTGTTCGTTGTGTCTCAGGATTCCAGAATATGCGTACTCAATTTAGAAATAAGGTGATTTCCTCAAGTTTATCAGTTTTGAAGATAAGAGTTCAGAGGTGGAAGCTAGGTTCTTCTCTCCTCTTACTGCATTTAACAGTAGTAGTATCTCTGCAACCAAAATTTCCTGCAAAAATATCCATTGCAACAAATCAGCCTTGAAAACATAGCAGTGGTATCCATTGAATTTCATTTGGCTTCCACGAGTAAGGCCACTTCATTTATACTCAGCAAATGATTTTCTGCATGATGAAAAAGAGGGAATGGAATTCAGCTTATTTTCCTTTGTGTGCCACGTTACCTTTGCATAGTTAGGAGTTGTCAGGACTACTTTTGTCATTCAGTTTAGCTAATTCACCACTGAGCACAGAGTGAAAGCAGCTCTAATATGCATTTCAAAGTAAAATTATCTTTCAGAGCAGTCCTGATGGGAACAGGTTTTTTTCCTAGCAGTCAATTTTGTTTTGCACTAAGAGCAGGATAGACTTGAGGCCAGCTTGCAGTAATGCAGCTTGAGCTATGTCCATTGTAAGTTATGGAAAGATTTGACTGGGGACCTGCAGGTTATGAACTCCTGTTCTTGGTATCTTCTAGGGAGTACTCCCCTTCTCAGTAACGCTTTTTGGTATGGATGAATGAGGGGAAAAGGGAGGTTAAATGGAGAAAACAATAGGAATAATAATAGGGAAGTGGAGAGTAACACTATTTTGAATGGTAGTGGAGAGACAGCATTTTTCTGCTCTTGTCCTCATAGCTTTCTAGTTGGCTATATAGCCAAACATATCTGAAGACTCACTGCCTCTTGGTGTTTTCTTCAAAAGGAATAATAAACATTTGTGGATGAAACAGCAAAGTGACATTCAGAATAACTTTACCCTTTCTGTGTGAAGTGAAAGTCCCTGGAGCATAAATTCTGTGACTGAACTTAAAAGGCCCTTTTGTTGTGGTGCCATTTTTTACCAGCTCTGTTTTAGTTGGTATTTTGAGAGAATATCACTTAAATTATGTTCTTTCCTTTGTTTTAGATTACAGATGTTGGATCACTTTGCTGAATGTGTCAAGCAGGCTAAAGGTGTTCGCCAGCAAGCTGTGCAGCTTAATATCTTTACTGCTGTTCTTAGTGCCTTGAAGGTAAAACTTGTAATGGGTGCTGAAGTTCAGCAGTTTGATTCATCAATTTGTATTCAATATAAGAGACTGTTAGAGGAATGTTACTACAGTTACCACTTAAACATTCAAAAGTTTGAAAATACCAAAATTGAAGTTTTTTTCAGATGTTCTTAGCGTGAGCTCTTGTCTGCACGTATCAGTACAGAGAATAGATGAAGCTCATGTAGTCAGCACTCTATATTCTTCAGACTTGTGGATTTTTTTCCTTTTCGGTCCTGTAGTTTTCTTTGCACTCTACTCATGAATTTAAGTACTTTGTCATATATACTCAAAACTCCCTCATGTCATAGAATATTGTGCACATGAGACTCATGGAAATTAGAACAAAAATAGATTTGGGGTTCCATTCGGGATGTCTTGATTTTTTTCTTCTTAATACTCCCTAATATTGCATAGAATTCTGGAAGCTTATGTCCAGTCCCACCGACTTCAGTTACAACTCTGTGTTCTCTATCTACACTTGGAAATCCAACCTCATGCTATCAAGTCAGGAAGCTAGACAGCAAGTCACAAATAATATTCCTCAGAAATGCTTGGTTTCAGTGACTTGCATTGCCTCAAGGCTTTGTGGAACAGTGTCTTAGAGTGTAGGATTTTCTTCCTACTAGTCTGATTTCTCAAGGCATTTCTAGTTTTTCCCCGATGCTGTTTTATGTAGCTTCAAATTAATGGGTCTGTTGGACATAATCTTTCATAGTTGCTCTGAAGATGAACAAGGATGACAAAGTTCTGTGTACTGAGGAAGCTACTCTCATAGAATTGCCGGCCTGTAATTAAAGATTGGATGAGTTTCTTCTTGTCTGACTTCTTGCCATACAAAAAATGGCTGCCTAGTTTAAGCTAATTGTTACTGGGACTCTGTGCCCTTGGTTATTGGGCAAAATATATTGGCAAAACAGCACCACTCTTGCTTGTTCTGTTCTTAGAAATGTGAACCATGCTGCTACAAGTTGAACAGTAGATTCTGAGACAGATGCCTGGAATTACCTATGCCAGGCCAGATAGTCAAAGAATTGTCAAAATTGTAAGGGCTGAAATTAGGATTTCAGAACAGAAAATGAGAGTCTGTGGTAGAGCCATCAGCTTCATTTATAATACATGCAGTGTTTGTACTTCGCATTTTTACCAAAGTAAAAGTCTTCTTGAAAGTTGTAGTGAAAGATGATGTGCTATTAATGAAATGTGGGAACCAAAGAAGTTGCAGAAGCAGTGTTCGGTGTCATTGTTCTGTACAATGTTCAGGTAACAGGCTGTATAAATGTTTGCAAAGATGAGATTATTAAGAAAAAAAAATATTTTTGTACCTAAAGTGTCTTCGGTTTAATGATTCTTGCAGAAACATAACTGAGCTGTGGTTTTCCTGTCTGACAAAAAGAGATGTTGCAGTTAGATTTTAAAGCTTCTCTTTTTTTCTGGGGTATCCTGTGTAAAGCTAGCTCAGTTTCAGCAGCAGTAGGGTGCGTGTAGCGCTGTAATGCGTTTGATAAAAAAACACTGGTGCAAGAGATCTTCCTGTATGTAAAATGGGTAGAGAATTGGCAAACATAAGACTATGTTGTTGAATTTGACTTTTATATGTTTTCAACCAGTATATTTTTAGGATAAATGACCACCAATTTACACAAAAATAAAAGCGCATAATTTTAATTTATGATCTTGAATACAGTAAAATTGCTCTTATGTCTCCCCTTTCTTCCCTGCTTTGGAATATTTTTTTCATGTAGGGTTTAGCTGAGAATAAAAGCACGTTAGGACCAGAAGAAGTCCGCAAATCTGCTCTGACGCTGGTAATGGGTGCCCTTGATAATCCCAACCCTATTTTGAGATGCGCAGCAGGCGAAGCTCTTGGCAGAATGGCTCAAGTGGTTGGAGAAGCCTCTTTCATTGCTAGAATGGCTCAATACAGTTTTGATAAGTAAGTCGGTTTTGATTCAGAAAAGGAAATAAAAATATAATTTAACGTAGTTTGGAAGATTCCTCTACTAAGTACCATATTGATTATTTTCTTCTCTTCATGCTTGATTGCTATGATTATGTAGATTTAACAAACCTTCAAACCGAGTCTTCTCGTTTTGATTTATTTCATATGATTCTTCCAGGAATAAAAGTTGAGTTGTTAAACTACTTGGAATGTGAAATGATACCAATGAATAGTTTTTGATGAGTTACTTAAGGTGGCTAAACTGCTTCAGATAGATAAATGCAGCTTACACTAAGTGTGTCTGTAATATGAACTGTGTAATAGTGGTTCTGTTTCATCAAAACATCCTTTCTACATGTTTATTTAACTTACCTACTTGCCCATATTTTTTTTGATATTCTTTTGTTAATCTTGGGTCTTTAGAAAGATGTCTGATAGGTATAAGAAGACAACATGTTTCCCAATTTTCAGCTTAAATTTAAGACATCAGCCTATCTGTGAATCAGAGTACACCTTCCTCAGGGCTGCAGCTCTTTTTTTGCCTGACCAGGCTGCATGCATATAGCCTCAGTCCAGCTCTCCTATCTCTGGGTAATTTAATTTTTCCCATCACTTAATCTTGTGATAAAGTACATCAACTTTACTGTCTTTCCTTGAATTTCTGTTACTGGGGCTATTTCCTTGGTTTCTTATCTAGGATTCAAGTTGTTAGTGGTTGCCAGTCTGTTGACACTGTCAAGTAATTTTTTTGTATTTGAGATTTTCATGTACTGCGTTGTTCACTGATGGCTAAGAGCGTGCTTGCCTCTCATATACAAACAACCAGGAAAAAATGAACAATTCTTTGTTCTAATTAGGATATCCTTTTATTTCTCTTCTACACCCCCTAAAAGGTTTTAATTAGAGAGTTATGTATGTGACGTGCATTCAGAAGCAGAAGTATTGTGGAAAACACTCAACAAGTCACTGCTTCATACAACGAGGTCATTCAGAATGATATTCTTTCTGGTTTAGTTTCATGAATAAAACATCATTTAAAAAAAAAAAGCTTTATTATAAAAGTCACAGAACTCGGCTGTAGAAAAAAAAACAGCTGTATTAAAAAGTTATTCAGTTGACTTTGCAGTGGAGGACATAGCTGTGGATTTCTTTGTCGTTTCTCAATATGTGGTGTTGTTTTTCCATTCTTGATTCTTTTTTACTGCAGTAATCTGGCAATGACATTTCTGATTATTAAATTAGTCTGCTGTGGAACACTGGTAAACACTAGATGCTTTTCCTATATTTTTCACTTCCAAAACTCTTTGTCATGTAAAATGTGAAGTTCTGACCAGGAAGAAAGAAAATAACTATTAAGATATCTTTTTTTTTTTTTTCACTCGCCTTGTGTATAATCCAGTTTAATAGCAATATAGATTAAGTGTGTTGGTTTTGCTTCTCAAGATCTTGTCAGTTGGCCTGCAAAGTTCTGTTAGTCATTTGCACTGTTGAGGTACACGTTCTTTGTAACAAACTTAGTGAATTACATGATTTCCTTTTATTTAAATTGATAGGTTAAAATCTGCTCGAGATGTTGTATCGAGAACAGGTCATTCTTTGGCTCTGGGCTGTCTCCATCGGTATGTTGGTGGAATAGGTTCTGGACAGCATCTGAAAACTAGTGTCAGTATTCTCTTGGCTTTGGCACAAGATGGAACCTCTCCTGAAGTCCAGGTAAAAACCACAATCACTGCTCAACTACTTTTCAGGATTAAAATTAAAAATTAAATTACCTGTTCAGATATTCTTTAATAGACATTGTCACATGTAAGCCAAACCATATGGATGTAACATGCGCCAGGGAGCATAAAGGAAGTGGAACTTTCCTTATAAACTCCTACAGCACAGAATCCCAAGTACATACTGCAGTTAAAATGTAATGCTGCTAGGGAGGCAGTTGCAGGTGGTTGCATGAATTTGGACTGACAAGTGTCTGCTTGTTAGCTGAGCCAGGGTAATTCACTGTGGGCATATTCCTGACTGACTGTAATTGTAAAGCAAAATGTGTTAGTTGTACCTTAGTGACCTAAAGTTTTTAATAACTGGTTAGTGGTTAACATGAGTTTAGTTATTGGAGTCTCAGGTGATGAGCAGTAGTTTTCTTTGCTGAGTAATTTCTGTATATATGATACTGTGAACACAGTATAGCAGTACATCATTTTTGAGGGGTTATATTATGACGACAAAAAATCTGTTGCAAGCTACACTGCACTTAGGGGACAGAAGGGAAACTAGTGGGAGCTAGGTTGTTGTGGGTTAGGCTGCTCCAGCAACCAAACCGCCCCCCTACAGTCGTTGACTCACCCTCCCCCAGCCCCAGGGATGAGGGAGAGAATTAAAGGATAAATGGGATACCCGTGAGTTGAGATAAGAGCAATTTAATACAGATGATTTAATACAGTGTAGGTGCTCACCACCCCCTCGTATGCGAAGGCCATCTCATCCCGAAGCTGCAATCCCGGACGAACGCGAGGCCCCGAAATAGAGAGGGGCAGAGAGAGAGAGAGAGAGAGTACTCTGAGAGTGGGAGTACTGGAAGAGAAAGAAAAAAAAAAAGGCAATAGAGCAAAAGCGCAGCAAGCACAAAAGAGCAAAAGCGGCGAAAGAGCAAAAGTGGCGAAAGAGCCAAAGTGCAAAAGCCCTTCTTTCCGGCTGACCCTCACTTTTATACTGGGCATAATGCTGCACGATATGGAATACTAATTGGCCAGTTTGGCCCTCAGTCTTAAGTTCCACCACAAATCACAAGGGGAATCGTGTCCCCCTTGTCCCGGCTGTGCTCCCCCCTTATCCCGCTGTGTTTCTGCACTCTGGCACACTGAAAAGTCCTTGGAGTCTCATGTCCAACCACAAACATCAGCTTGCTATCAACGTTCTTCTCAGAGTGAGCCTCTGAGTAAAACCAAAACATGGAGCTCTTCTAGCTGCTAAAAAGAAGAGCTAACTCTGCCCCAGCTAAAACCAGGACATAGGTCCATGACAAGGCAAAGGTGGGAAAGGGTTTCTGTCCACTGTGGACTATAGACATGTAGAAAGTATCACAAGCGGACAAGTTGTCTGCTGCAAGTTGCTAGTAGAGTAAAAAGGGGACTAGACACGCTGCTGAAAGAGCAATGCCTTTGATGTTGCTGAATATGTATTAACACTGTGCAGTTCCGAAAGTTTCCTAAGTTGAAAATACTTGAAAACTGGGAGAATACACTGTCTTTACTCTTCCAGGAGAAATTCGAGGGGTCAGTATCTTGGTCTATCTTTATACTCCCTTAACCATCTGTTTGTGGCTTCTGTTGTAAAAAGAAGAGAGGGCTAATTGGAGCTGTACATCTGTCTTTACGTTAAGAGGTTAAATATGCCCAGGGAGGTGGTTGAGTCCCCATCCCTGGATGTGTTTAAGAATAGGGTGGATGAGCTACTTGAGGATATGGTTTAATGGGGATTAGGGATGGTTGGACTCGATGATCTCTAAGGTCTTTTCCAACCTAGAAATCTATGAATCTATGAATTCTTCAAAGATTATGGTGTAATTGCATGATATAACAGGTAATTTTTTGTCAGTCTTTTCACAAGCTACTGCAAGGAAATGATTATCTGGAATAGTGACTATTATAATTTAACAGCAGGAGTCTGCATGCCACCCATTAGTAGGGACACTTTATACTCACAGATTGAGAAGCTGAAGCCCCAGTAACTATACAGAATCATACTTCCACCTTGGTTTAAATTATTGACTTGATAGACCATGTAATAGTGTACCTTCTTGTTTCTTTTCCTTAGGGCAATAAAAAAAATAATCAAAATAATCAAGCTTGTCACTTGGGAAAACAAGCCTAGTTTTGTTTAGAGATAATGTTTACAAACTAATAAACTATAACTACAATATAAAGTATCTTTTAAATTTCCTTAGTTTACTTAAGGTAAGGCAAAGTTCAGTTTGCACGTATACACGTAACTTACTTCATGTGTAAGTAAGTAATTTTGAGGCATGTAATTGTGTACCATTCATTTAAAAACCAAAATGGAAAGGGTTATTGCTTTACGAAAAAAATGTGGAAGTATAAAGGGGAAGCCCAGGTAGAACTTGCATACCTACCTTATTTTCTGTTGAGAGTACAATACCAGCCCACTGTGAAAAGCTAAGCTTTTAGACCTCGTTCCTTGCTAGATCAGTATGGATACACAGAAACTGTATGGGAGCATGAGTAATGGAAATTTGTAGAAAGGAGAGGATAAGCTGTAATGTGCTACCATGTGGTTAGGACTGTAAAATTAGTTATGGGATTGCTAGTGCTAATGGTTTTTGGGTTGCATCCGAGAGGATTAAAAAGAAGCAATTTTAAAGACGGGTTTTCCAGCTCACTGGTTAAGAGTCTAGCTTTGTAATCCTAATAGTCTTTTAACTTAGTCTTTTCAGCACGATTGCATCACATATTTAATGGAAGAAAATTCTGAAATAAGATTATTTAGTAGGGTATTATGGAGAGATATCTAATGCTTTCAGGTCTGTCAGGGGAATTTATTTCCTATGAAACATCAGTGACCAAAAAGACTGTCCTCTTGTCCACTTCTTGCTTTGACAATTACAGTAAATTTTTTTTTTCTCTTTTGTTATTTACTTCTCTGGCAACTGAAATCAGTTCCTACTGGAATGTCAAAGGCACTCCCCACTAAGGACTTTGTCAGCTGTCCATTTCAGACTCTACATCCAGTTTTACAGCAGAATGATTCTGTTTCTCCTGTCTTGAGTCACTTTTCTTTTTTCACTTTTTAAGTAAGCGTGTTTATGTTTGTATTTTTATTCCTCAAAGTGCTTAACCATTTTTTTTCTCAAATTCTTTGTCATATTCACCTCTATTATCCCCAAAACTACTGATATCCAAAGAGTGTGCTAGAGATACATAAACTCCTAGGTGATTGCTTGAGATTCTGATACTTTTGGGACACTCCTGGAGTCAGAGTAGGTAACTAGACATGTTAAAGCAAGCTAGGCTCAGTCTGCATACAAAATTGTTTAAATTTCTTAAATATATTACTGAAAAATCTCTTTGTTTTTTTGGTAGACCTGGTCTCTCCATTCACTTGCCTTGATAGTAGATTCTAGTGGACCAATGTATCGTGGATATGTGGAGCCAACGCTTTCTCTAGTTCTTACTCTGCTCTTAACTGTTCCACCGTCGCATACGGAAGTACATCAATGCTTAGGCCGATGTCTTGGAGCTATAATAACTACTGTTGGGCCTGAGCTGCAAGGTTAGTGGTAATTCAAAGAAAACTCAAAAAATCTAACTTGTATAAAGATAATATATCATGATCTTAAATGGAAGAAATAAATTTTTGTTTGTTGGAGTTGCAGTCAAGGGGGTGGTGACAAATTCAATTACAATCCTGCAAGCAACCGCACTTCCAATTGTGCTTATGACTGCTTGGGGCTTTTTTGAGTGCTGTTTGGGATTTGTACGAAGAAGTTGCCATGATATATGGTTTTCTGGCTAATGGCAAATTTGTGTGGTAGATAAAAGATGAAAAACACCTGTGCTGCATATTTTGCCACATATATTTTTGTGTATAGGTGGAGCAAGAGGCAAGATTTTTTTCCTCCACTTCTTCAGCACGTGTTGATTTTATTTTTGGCTGACTACAGGAGCTTAAGTTTGACATCATTGATAATGGTGTGAACAATAACTCATTTCCACTCATTCTTGATGTTCTTAGATCACTGAACCTTACTGTAGAGAATAAGATCTTGTCATGCCTAACACTATGTGAAATTCTGTGTCTCAGATGGCAAAAATATGGATTTGTAATTTTGTCTAACTGGGATTTTTAGTAATATTTGTAGGATGGTCTTTGATGTAGTGCTAGAGCGCCAGCCACTAGGGAAATTTTAACTCTAGATAACTGGACTTAAATTTCTAGTTACGAAAAACTTCTAGATGGTTTAATTGAACTTGTGTATGTACTTGCTGTGTGTTAACCTTTTGATTTGGAGTGTCATTAACTCTTTAACAACTTCCATAGAATGTCTTCTGCAGGCTACGTTTTTCTGTAATTCAAGATTTTTTTATAGACCTGATGCAGGTTATTCTTAAAATACAGAATGTGATGATTTCTCAGATTAAATACTTTTCTTTTGAATGCTTGTCCTATTAGAGTAGTGCAACTCATCTAATGAAGCTAACTAAAATCACCTGTGTACGTGTATGCTAACTTAAGTGTTATCTGATATTTTAGGATATGGTTCAGTGCATGAAGTGTTGCCCATATGTATAGAATGAGAGACTTGCAAAATTGAAATTCAGATAATTTTACTGGTCTCATGTTTGGGGATGATATTCTCGAAATATTTCTAATGGAAGATCGTTGATCCAGCATTTCATTTGGACAGGATGTTGTTTAACTGAGCTAAAAAAGAGATATTGAAACACTCTGAAGTGTTTCTTTGAAGTTGTGTAGATACTCATTTGCGGTAGGAGTTCAGAAAAGTTGCATGTTAATCTGTGAACTTTGAAGCATTAAAAATTCTTGTTTTTCCAAGGTTTAAATTCTACAGTTGTCATACAAAAATTTTGCTGTTTTAAGAATGTCATATTAAATCATTAGGTAATGGAGCTACCATTTCAACAATCCGTTCTTCCTGTTTGGTGGGATGTGCAATCACACAAGACCATTCAGACTCACTTGTTCAGGCAGCTGCCATATCCTGCCTTCAGCAGCTTCATATGTTTGCACCACGGCATGTCAACCTGTCCAGTCTGGTTCCTAGTCTTTGTGTGAGTACAAAATGCATCTCTTTTGTTCCTTCAAGTTTTATGTGTGTGCTTAGCGGAGGACAGAAGTGCTTAGCCAAGATGTCAGGGATACCCACATGTAGTAAGCAAGCCACATCTGCAAAAACACTGGAGTGCAATAAAAGGATGTCTGTCCTTGAGCCATTTCAGATCTTTTCAGAATGCTACCCAAATTGAAGTCATAGAGTCTGATTCTCTTTCACCCTAGATAACACAAGATAACAAATGTTTGCATAGAACATGACTGAGTAAAAAGATGCTGAAATGCTCTTTCCTCCAACTGATTGCATGAACAGAGGGAAGTGAGTGAGTTAGGGAAATGTAGGAGATTTTGGATTTATTTTCCCACTGTCAGCGTAGTAGGTGCTGACATTCAAATTCTTGTGCTGCTGTTGTTAGCATTGCTTTCACCCTCCGCTAGTGTTCTGTCAGCAAATCCTGGCTGAAAGCGAGGCAGAGGCTGGAACCCAAAACATACCAAATATGACTGTAAGAGGAAAGGTGGTGTGTGTGGGTGTGCGTTTTGGTGTGTTAGGTTTTGTTATTACTATTCTTAAAATAATTCTCAGAGGGTTCGGCAGTCCAATTGAGAAATTTGAAAAGCTTCACCCTAATGTTTGTTGGATGTTTTGCAAAGTTCTTTGTGTCATTCTTTGTGGAACTGGTGGTTCTGTGTTACCTGAAGGAGCGCAATCCTACTTAGTCAATACTGGAACGTTTTTGTAGCCTGCAATCCAGACCTTCTGTAGGGTATCCTCTCATTACATGCTTCCTCCTCCACCCTCACCCTTGCATCCCTCCTATACTCTGGAGCACTCTTGGAAGTGCTGCGTGTTCCCAGAATGTCACTTGTCCTGCCTCAAAATTTTGCATGAAATAGGTGCAAAGTACCCAAAAGTAGGTAGCCTCTCTTGTATGAATACAATATACGACATGACAAACAATCCCTACAGGCATTTAATCTGTAAGTACCAGTGGGTAATATTACAGACAATGAAGTTCATACAGCAATGACTAGTGCTGTTTTGAAAACTTTTCCCGGGGTTTTCTACTGTCTCTTTCCTTTTCCTTTATGGTTCTCTTCTAAACGAAAGCTATTTTCTTTCTCTTTTCTCATATTCCTCACTTCGAGGTCATACTTAAGTTTCATAAGTTTTCCTCTGAATTGTCTTTTGCATTTCTTTATACTCCATAATACACTGCATAGCAAGGTAGGCAAGGTCTGCCTTACCTGCCCTGTTAACAAACTTCATTGCTTTCTAACTCACTTTTTAATGGAATTAATGCCAGGTATCAAAATGAAACCACACAATTCCATAATCTAGTTTAATTTCTTCTTCCTGCGTTGGCTTCGTAACCACTAGTTGTTTGTTTTGTAACTTAAAACAGGGAATACTCTTTCCATTAATTAAATCCCTCAAACGTTCTGTGTTTTAGTTCCATTAAAACAACCTCAGTGTGATATCTAGAGGTTCTTTAAAGTCTGCTTGTTTTTTCAGGACTAAAATCTTGTATATTCATATGTGGAATAAAGATCTACTGTTAAAATGCTTTATACAACCCTTTCATTTAGGAAAGCAATTTCTGTCCACATAATAACCTAATACTGAGAAAGCAAATGTGTATTCGGTTTATTAAAAACAAATTCCCCAGGGTAAATAAAGAATCAGAGTTCCTTAAAGAGCACTCTTCATCTCTTCCACTGTGGAAAAACATTAAGTTCTCTGTGCAGCTACTTCCTCTCAGAAAAATAGGGACCATGCAAAATTCTTCTTTAAGAAAAATGTTTGGTTGTACTTGAGGTTATTCAAAAGGAATTAGAAGCCAGTGTTGGTCAGCGAAGAAATCTGAAGTTGTCTTATTGAGAGGGACTTACAAAAACTTGTGCTATAAATTCTAGTACAAATTTGAAATTAAAGTTTTTATGATAGCTGTCGTGTGGTGCACCTGATGATGGCTTTTTCGTTAAAAGAATGTGATTTACAGCTATAGCAGAACATGAAGTTGAGTAGTGCTGATTAGTCCAAAGGACACTGGCAGAGTAGCGCCAATATTTAAGCTCTTATCTCTTTAACCAAGTAACAACTTTATTTTCATATTTGTACATTATAAAAAGTGCTTTTTTCTGAACTTTCAAGATCTTGTAAAGAGCTTGGTACCCAGCATCTCACACATGGGCATAGGACTGAAAAACAGAATGCTGTTAGTCCCTAGCAGCACTGATTAATGATACAGGTATGCAGCAGTTTACTCTTTCCTGTAATGGTTCTGATTTTTAGGTTCATTTGTGCAGCTCTCACTTGCTGCTTCGTCGGGCTGCAGTTGCATGTTTACGACAGCTTGCTCAGAGGGAAGCAGCAGAAGTATGTGAATATGCCATGAGCTTAGCAAAAAATGCTGGAGACAAAGAAAACAGTGGCATCAGTAAGTATTTCTTTCATGTGGCCTTTTTGTAATAGTTGCATGTGCGTATGGGTGGCTTGCCTTCAGAGAAGGGGTAAAAACCCCCAACAAAACAAAAAACTCAAACTGTCCCTTCCAGCTCCAGTAACTTCTGGCCACACCCCTGCTTACCTCTTGAATTTCACTTATAATTTAACTTTTTGTAAAGTTCAGACTTCTCTGCCCCATTAAGACTGACAATCAAATAGGGAATGCAGTGTATGTACAGTGGAAACATTTTACGTTTTTTCTCATGTTTTAGGTCTTGCTCTTTTGAAAATTAACTTAATTGTATGCTATTTGATTGGGATACCTGGTTGTGTTATCTTCTGTTAGCAGCAAATTCTGTAAAACATATGGACTTTGCTGGTTGGTTCAAATCTTACATGTATCGTTTTATCTTGAAAATAGGAGTCTCAGCAGTGTTGGTGAGCACAGTCTTCATACAGAACTGTGAGCTTACTCGTATTAAATCACACCAGTAAAGCCTGTCTCTGGAAAGATTCTTTAGAGTCCAGTACTAATAGGGGTTTTTAAAAATTCATGGAGTATATACCTTGAGAGAGAGATTTTTTTTTTGATTTTTTTTTTTTTTGAGTGATACTAGGAGGTGTTATTTGCCTTGCAGAAAATAAGTTAAATTAATTGCTGTATTAAAATATTTCTAGTATTAATTCAGGAGAAATTCGGTAACATCTTGGTGTATCATTGCCAGAACTATAGACACACAAATATGCAATGTCCAATTCTAGTCTGTTATCACAAGTTTTAAAATTGGGTTACTGATTTCAGAAAAGGTTTCTCATTATCATTTTGCAGATATTAATCCCTTTGCACCAGGAGCTGGTTCTCGGCGAGATGCTCTTTCCCGGCATCAGGGAGTTAATATAACAGAGACAGGCCTCGAAGGTGTCCTTTTTGGAATGTTGGATCGGGAGACTGATCGGAAGTTGTGCTCAGATATCCATGATACTCTGGGACATATGCTTTCATCGCTGGCAGTAGAAAACCTTTCTCACTGGCTAATGCTTTGTAAGGATGTCCTTGCAGCTTCCAGTGGTAAGTGTTCTATAGCGTTCACAAAAAAGACAATATGTCCTTAGTATTAGCATCTTCTGGCAATATTTATTTGGAGCCTGTCTCTTACCCTAGCTAAGACATAGCTTGTATTGTATATAGAACTTTGATTATAGTGCCTTAAAACTTCCTTGGAAAGAAGAAATCATCAAAGTTATGTCAAGTTTTAGAATATTGCTTTTAAGATTAATAAGTTAGCTGCCTTAAAGTAGGATTTCCAGCAGAGAAGCAGTGTGATTATTACTCTGACATTTCAGTATCAGTGAAAGCAGACATATTCTTTTTAGCCTTTATACATCAGGGCCATACAGAAGGAAGAGAGCTGTGCGCACACTGAGCTTTCTTTTATGAGGTTTTGTGAGTTATTGATGCCTTGATGGGTTGCTATGGTGATGAGGCTTTTGCTTGTTGTTCAGCTTTGCAGACTTGTTTGCGCAGATCTTGTCCTCTGAGACCTTATTCCTGTTCTTCAGCTTGTAGGATGGTTGTGACGCAGATTCTGCTCGTTTCTCTTGCATTTATACTTGTTTATTGGCATACTGTGAGTTCATCCTGAAGCTCTTTCTAAACGTTGCCAGCTTTACATTTACTGATGAGTAATGCTACCAATGATTTCTCTATGCCATGTAGTTAACTGTGTATCTGCCCAGTGAGAAAGGCCTCGTTTCCCCAAGTTTGATGTCGGTGTGTCCATTTCTTATTTCATGTGGAATGGGTTTTAAAGTTTTTAACATGGTTGTCCAATCTCTTATTTATTAGTAGATTAAATAGTCTTGGAGAGAACTGTATTTAAATAAACTTCTGTCAGCTGTAATAAGCCAGCAACTTCATTTTGAACTCCTTTGATCCGGCAAACTGGTACATGAACAAAATCTGGTTTGCCTTTTAAGCAGAAATTTACAAGTCAGCCACATAAGGTCCTGGTTGCCTTCTCAAAACACCCTTGTTGTGAATTGGCTTCATCCACGTTTGATTTGTCATGACCTCTTTCTGTCTTTATTGAATGTCTTGGCTCTTCAGCTGCTTAAATTTAGACTTCTTAGGAAGTATGCCTTAGTTGGAGTGGGTTACCCTTGCAATAATTTCCTCTCGTTCTTCTCTTAATTTTTGCCAGAGTAATTTTTGTCAATATCTTGGCATTTTGCTAATTTAGACCTTGTCATTGAGATTTTATATTCTCATTTCTGAATAGTAGAAGTGTATATTCATGTTTGCCGAGTTGTCTTTTGTCCCTGTTTGGATTTTGTTTGGTTTTTTTTTTTTTTTAATGTGATCTCTGAAGTAGTTTTGTTTTCTGAAATGAAGCCTCACAGCTACACTTAGAGAAACAATTTTTTGAATGTTGAGCACGTTTGTGGGTGCCATAAACTGCCTACTTGGCTGTGCACTTGTCCCATGGCATGAAACTTTGTAGTTGTGTTTCGGTTTAATGTGCACTTTAGCTTTTACTTGAAACAAGAGGTGATTCTTTGATTCTGAGCCTGGTAATCTCCTTACACTGTTTATTGGCAATTTTAATAGGTTAATTTTCAAAGATGAGAAGTTTAGATACGGGATTCAGCTACAGTTGATATCTGTGCAGAATTAACACAGGAATTTATTTCACATCATTTAAGCCAAATAAAGGATCATGTAGCTCAAATTACAGGTGAAAAACATTTCTTCTACCAATATTCCTATGTCTCTTTACATTTTTCAAATGTTGTTGTTTCAAGAGAACAATTAATCTGTTTTTAATCTGAGCGTGAGGAAAGGCTTTGAATATGTTCTTAGCTGTCTTCTGTGGATTGTAACAATGGGATTTTTTTTTTTTTAATTGTTCTCTATTGTAGACATGAGCACTGCTGCTCCCTTGGGAGGAGGGAAGGATGAGGAGTCAGAGAAGAAGGACGAGATGGACGATGATACAATGTTTACCACCTTGGGTGAAGATGATAAATCCAAACCTTCTGTAGCACCTCGTTGGGCAACTCGTGTGTTTGCAGCAGACTGTCTGTGCCGAGTTATCATGCTGTGTGAGAATGCGAACAAGGCGCACTTCGATCTGGCACTGGCTCGTTCAGCCAGACTTAAAAACCCAAAAAGTAATTACAGAATGTGCATATTTTGTTTTGATTTTAACTGTCTTTTAATTTTTGACACCTTTTTACAGATTAAGATTACACAACCAAGAAAAAGATACAAGCAGTTATCCTTTCATTCAAATGGTTAAAACCACAGGAAATGGCCCGCAGAAGTCAATAGAAGTGTAGTTGTATAACCACTGTAGTTACCATACTGTGAACACAAAGAATGAGATTTGCTGGAGGATATAAATTCTGGCAGACTGATCTGCTTGGAAAAAAACTCCTTAGATTTGCAAACTTTTTCTCCAGTCTGAAATGGAAGCAGTAAACTTCTAGCTGAGGGTGAGCTGGAAACAGTTTTCTGAGTTTAACGTAATGATAGCGATGAATTAGACTTCAGAGATTATGTTAGCATCTCTGGATGGAAGGGACGCTAGGAAATGAAAAAGAGAGAAGGCCAGGTAATCATTGCGGTGGGAATGGTTGTGGATAGAGGGATGTGGGAGGGAGTTATAGTAAGACGTGGACCCAGCTGCTTTATAAATTTCATTCTTTTGGTATCCATGAGAGTGCGTAATATTAGTTTTAAAGCTCGTGTTTTGAAAATACTTTTATGAGTTAGAGGATCAAAAGTGAGAAGTCAGAGATGACGTTGTTTTGTGAAGAAACGGTTTTCTAATAGATAGTAAGAAGTTTCTGTCCTTGAGTTGTCCATGTGTATTGGTTCTGGTGCATAGTGATTGTTGGCTTTCAGCCATGTAGTGCTCATGAGAACTTTGCGTATGTAGGATGAATATCATGAGCATCCTAGAATGCATAGGATTAATGATTTTAGTGTCTGTGTCGTTGACAGTGTCTGTTATGATACTGAAATTTATAAAGTTTTTACTTGTGTTGCTTTGGTGCGGTCTGATTCCAGCACTGTGCATTGATTTTGTGAAAATCTTGTTTCTGACTTGATTTGAGGCTTAGGTCACTGAAGACTTAAGAGGGACGAGTTTTGAGAAAGTTTATTTCGAGATAGCATTGTATTATAGAGAAAATAGTGAAATAACTGCTGCTTTTAGGATCCTGTAGATGATTGCATATAATAATTCTGAGAATTTACAGCTCTGGATTTATTTAAAGTGAGCTTGATGTGTTTGATATCATTGTAAAAAGGAAAACTCAGCAAACTTCTAACCCCCTGACTTCAACTTCCAAAATATTTAAATTTTACTAACATCTGTGATGGTCTGAACAAGTAAGTGCAGACTTTACAACTTTGTAGTTTTTAAGTGATTTCCAGTCCTTCTTTACTGACATGCCTCTGAAAAGTTTCAGCTACAAAATGAGCTTTTCTTTTTTTACCTTGAGACTTGAAAATATGTAGAGCTTTGATAATTTGTGGGGTTTGTTAGTCACCCTGGATATTATGTTTTTAAATAATTTATTTTCATAGTAGTTGTACAACATCTGGTAATTTCAAATTGAGAGTAAGGAGAGAAATAAAATGAATAAATAGAGAAGAATAATCCTTTCAGAAATGTTACTGGGTTATGTATTGGTGGTTTTTTTTTCTGCGTGTCATCTGCTGCTTACTTACAGCCTTGGCTGTGGGTCTTGGGAGCAGAACTAGAGGCATGTTGGTTTTAGGTGCTGAGAACCTCATCAAGTTTACTTTGTCAGCAGGGGTCACTATAAGCATAGGACTGGAACAGCAATTGCCGTGAAGGTTTTCTGTACATTTGGGGCGAATCACTAAAATTAGCTTTACTACATGTTCTGATATCTTCTAAGCTACTCAGCCACATTTACGTACTCTATTCATTGCAATTTATGTATATCATATATTAATTTAGTTTCAAATTTGTGCTTAATTTTTAAGATTATGTTAGGAATAAAAATCCTTGTATCACTTTTAGAGGGGAGGAGGAGGAGGGGGGAGAAAGAAAAATAGGTTACATTCTTTCCTGCCTTCTTCCATAACCTAAATATGGACCTTTGAAAAATAATAGGTAAAATTTGTACACGTCAATGAGGAAAATGTTGCCAATGTCTCTTGTGTTAGCTATCTTTTAAGTTACTAAATTGTGCTTTCTCTTTTGTCCTAAGATGACTTCTTAGTACTGCATCTCTCTGACCTTATTCGAATGGCGTTCATGGCTGCAACTGATCACAGCAACCAGTTACGAATGGCGGGTCTGCAAGCTCTTGAAGACATTATCAAGAAATTTGCATCAGTTCCTGAGCCAGAGTTTCCAGGCCATGTGATACTGGAGCAGTATCAGGCTAATGTGAGACCTCCTTTATAAGTTCAGGAAATTGTACATTTATGCCAGTATGCTAGTATTAGCTTTGAGAACATTTTGTAACTTCAAAAGAGCTGTGAAGAGATTTTTGTGTGTGAAAATGTACTGAAGAGACTCTCTTATTTACATCTTCAAAATTTATTTTTGTATCTCTTCCTATTTGTTTTAATTTAGTAGCTGACAAAAGTAAAAATTCAATAGCTATTGATTCTGGAAAGCCAAATATTACAAGTTACATTTAATTTTTGGCAAGAGTGACATTTCATTTGTAAAATTAGGAGTTGGAAAATAATGCTGATTCAGTTCCAGATGGAATCTAATAAGTCTGTTTTCTTGGGAATTAATGAATATACCTCTGTTTAAAAGAAAACTACAAAATATATTAATGGCAGGTGGGCAAGAAGATTTATTTTGAGGTATTATCGCTGTATTTTGTTGCATAGTCTTTCACCTCTTTTGTCTTCATTGTATCTTAAAGATCTTTGCAAATACTTTATAAAGGCAAACTTTCATCCTTTTCACTTCCTGCCTTTTTTTTTCTATAGTGCTGTAACCATTGCTTCTGTCTCTTTGACTTGGTTCCTTTTGTTTCAGAAGAATGCTGCCTTATAACAACTGCCTAAAAGGCTTTTTTTGTCAGTATTTGTCATTTTGGGAACTTGATGGAAATCCAACCATAAATATTTCGCATCATTATTCCTTTGGACATCAAAAAGTCGTTGGCTTTTTAAGACTTAGCCTAAATTGCACCTGTAATACTTTCATGATTAAAGGGATATTTGTTAGCAGAAGAAAGATAATACTACGTATTTGACAAAGGTAGTTGAGGCTTAAAAAGGCAATGGGCAAGCAGGAAGAAACTGGTTTAGGACTTTTTTGTTGTTTAAAAAATACTATTGCAAGTATCTGCTAGACAGCACGGGCAAGTTTGGGGTGTAACGCTAATGCCAAAATTGACAGTCTTGTCTTGCTTGTTCTGTGTATCTGCTTAAGCCTTAAACAAGACGAGATGAAGAATGTTCTGTCACTGTTGTTTTACTTGGATTTTCAAGTTTTTCTTCCTGTCAACAGGTTGGAGCTGCTCTGAGGCCAGCTTTTTCTCAAGATACACCGTCTGATATAACTGCAAAGGCCTGCCAGGTACAGAGAAACATGTTCAGATACTATAAGCCAAACTGATTTTCCTTCTCTTTGGAAGAAGGATGCAGAAGAGAAGTTGTAGCAAAAGGCTGGAAAATTTTGTAAACCTAAGCCTGATGTTTTTGCAGCATCTTTTGAGTCTCCTAGTAATATGTTTTCTTCCTCAGAAGTGCGGAAGTCCTTTTAGGGAGCTACATCAGAAAATATTTAGTCTTTCTGAAACTAATGATGTCTTCATGCAAATTCTGCATTTGCTGCTAAAAGAAAAAAAAAAAGGAAAAAGCCCTTGCTTAGTGAGCCCAATAGTAATGTATTTATTGACATGCCTTTCAGTCTGATCAAATGTTCAAACCACTGATAATTTACCTTTAAACACTAAACTTCCATTAATACTCTGTTTTAGATTTTAGAAGACCTGAGCATTCTCATTACATTCATAGTAACAATCTCTCAGTGAAAATTCAGTGAAAGACTTTTTTGTGTGTGTGTGTGTGCGCATGTGTATTTTCTTGTATGTAATCTTGTACTACTGTGGTTTAAATCAGGTATTGGCAACATAGCTTGTAGTAGTATCTGGTATGTGGTTTACACAGCTAAATTACTACTGTAGTTTAAAGCAAGCAGTTTAATTAGCTATGCAAACATCAGTTTTAATATGATAACTTTGTGTATGTGAGTTTTGTGTAGTAAATCTCAGTCGAGCAGGACTGGGATTTTGTACTGTCATTTTATACTCTTAATTTCCAGCAAAATTTGTAAAGACGGATCAAATATGGCATCATTTAGCATCTATACTTACGAAAGAGTATGCTCATGTTACCTTAGAGATGTGCATTTAAAGCTAGATGAAGAGGCAGTTTGTATGAAAACATAACATTCTTTATAACTTGTCAAAATCTTCCCTATTCAACCAGTTTCAAAGTGGATGTGTGCACGCAGGACTGAATGGCTGGAGATTAGGTTTTGATATTGGACTGTCTCTCTAGAAGTTTCATGGACAGAGATGAGTTGCACTGAATGAGTTTGATGTTGTTACGGTTTTATGTCATTACTGAAACAGTTGTTGACTTGCCCAGCAGCAGGAGTGAAGCTGGTCTGAGTCCTGATGTGAATGAGTTACGGATTTGTGGCAGATCTTCAGCAGCCTTGTTCTGTGCACCTTCGGGACACATTCTGTGTTTGTGTTTATTTTAAATGTGTCCACGGTTCCAGATCATGAGAGGCCTTTCCCCAAAGGCTTTCATGGAACTAGTTCTCTAAAAGCAAAATAAATAAATTGGAGATAGAACAAGAATGCCATGAAAACCTGAACTGCTTGAGTTCTGTAGGTTTTTTTGCTTCAGTTCCTTATCCTTGTAGAATCACCACCAGAATTGAAGCTGCTTTTCTGAAAGAATTTGTCCCTTTTTCTTTTTGTGGAAAAGCAACTGCACCAGAATTCTTCTATTGCCTGCACTATGTCTGGGCGTGAATGTGTTTCAGAGAATGAATGCCAATGTATAGCACTAGACAGAAGCTGCTGATCTGTATGATGTTTGGATTTTAAGTACCTGTTTGGGTACGTTTTAATTCAAAATAAAATAAAAGTGGGGAGGCACCCAACTGTCAGTGCACCGTGTCTGGTATTGATTGTTCTAGAATGTGGTACTGTTGATTCCAGATCAGAGCTCATTTGTTTCAAGGTTTTCAGCTCACTCATTCTAGGTATTTTCTCGACATTAATGATGTTGAAAGCTTCTCATTAGTATGGAGCCTTAATATCAAATTTGAGAGGTGTGAGTTTTTAAATATGTACTTTTACTGATTGCTATCTGCTGTACTCTTCACAGTGAATGTTATGACTCTTTACTTGAACGATTTAACCAGACACTTGGGAACAGAATAAAAATACTGTTTTTACTTATTTATAGAGGATTAAAAAAAAAAAAAAACTTTTAAGTATTTTTCCATGTATCTATTAAGTTCCACTGTGATATGCTTTGCAAATGTAGCTTTTGTAACCACTCACTTGAGCAATTTTGTTATGGTGGGTGGGGAGAATAAAGGAAAACCTCAGATTTTTTTATATTAAGCAGGAAGAGGGCTGCTAAGTTTTTGTGGTGATTGTTTTGGGTTTTGTTTTCTTAATTTTTTTTTCACTTATAAGGTTGTTGATTTTTTTTTTTACTAGCTTATAACAATTCTAAACTTTGTTGTTTAGGTATGTAGCGCTTGGATAGGAAGTGGAGTTGTAAGTGACCTGAATGATCTCCGCCGAGTTCACAACCTTCTTGTCTCTTCCCTGGATAAAGTGCAAGCAGGAAAGGGATCTTCTAGTCAGCTTTACCGAGAGAGTGCAACTACTATGGAAAAACTTGCAGTTTTGAAAGCATGGGCTGAGGTAAACTTTGACCATTAAATCTTTAAAAGTTTGAAAAGATTTTGGGGTGTAATAGCAGCCTCAGACCTTGCTGGCTGTTGGGCCAATGAGCCTTGTGCCTGCCCTTCTCCTTACCTGTTGCAGTTCCACTCCTGGAATGTTTTAATCTATCTTTCTCTGTTCCTTTTTCTGTCGTTCTGGCAATCCGTATTTACAGTGATACTTGATTGTTCTTTGTTTTACTGCGCTTTTCTGTATTGAAGTATACACTCACACTCTATCAGATTTTCGTTTTCCTCCCATCTTATTGCTCTTAAACTTTAAAAAAAAAACAAAAACCAACCCAAAACTGAACAACCTTAAAATATATGGTGGTAAAATATTCCAGTTAATTAACTAGGAGCTTGTCAAAGCATTCATAATAAATTACAGGCTTAATGTAGATATTGTTGGGGAATGGCTGGAATACCACAAATCTTGAACTATTTACAAAAGACGGAGTTAGCACTACTTATATTGCATTGCTTCCTGAAATGTTACTTGGATGCTATAGAGCTCTACATATAATTACGCAAATGATATTTTGGTTTCTTTTAGTGTAGTACTTCAAGGTTTGCCATTTTTTCATTAAATTTTCTTGAAAGTGACTTTTGAAATTACGAAGTATTAACATTTCAGCTGTGTAATGTTAATCATCCCATACTGTAATTTTCAGCATCTATTGTGTGAAGACACTTCTATTTCTTCTCAAAAAAATGCTTATTTTTACTGTATTTTTTTTATATTTCTGCTTATTTCCATATTTATCTGTTTTTGAAAATCCTTTTATCTTCTCATAGCATTTGTCAAAGACAAACATATAAATTTTCTTGTATTCATGTAACACATTTAAAGCCATTTGCATGTCTTTGATACCTAATCTGCTCCCAGAAAGTGACAATTACTCTAATTTCTCTAGTAGCTCTTAATGTAGGTCAAAGACATCTTTGCGATAAGGATGCATTAATTTAATAAAATCAGTTATTTAAATCAATATGTCTGTGTAGAGCAACAGTAATTGACACTTTTTAAGGAAAAAAAGTGCGTAGCCAAATTGTTTTAGGAAAGTGTCGTTTGTGGGCCTAATTGGTATATACTGGTAGAAATAAAGAAAAAATATTTAAATAAAATGTATTGCAAATCTCTGTTTCCTGGTCATTTTCTGATGAGTCACCTGTGTATGGAATCTGTTACATGGGAAGGGCTGCTGCTTTTTTTCTTCTTAGGATCTCACAGCATGTACTTTCATATCTGTTTTTCTTCTAGGTGTATGTTGTTGCCATGAAAATTAAGAAAGAAGCAGAGACCAAACCAAAACGTGTTTTAAAGAGCACAGAGGAGGATGAGGATGATTTTGGTACTGTAGATGAGTTGCCACCAGACAGTTTGATAACACTTGTACAACCTGAGCTGCCTGCACTTAGCCGTCTCTGGTTAGCTGCGCTGAAAGATTATGCTCTTTTAACTTTACCAGCTGAATTTGCTACTCAGCTTCCACCAGATGGTAAGCGCTGAAATTTCTTTTTGTCTTGTTCCAAAGAATGGAAAGAAACCCTTAGTTGAGACTTTAAAATTATTCTATAAATTATTTGGCAAGTGTGTTTTTTATGCAAGTGATTAATTTCTGCCTATGTATAATAGGAATGTATGTTTGAAGTTTGCGTGTGCTTTTTCCTCTTCAACTGGCAATGAAGATATTTTTCATCTGAATCAGGGATTGTTTCAACAAGGACATGGTTTTATTAAGAATACTTCTACACTTCTAATATTTTGATATTAAATGGAAATAGATGCTTACTATAAAAAAAGCATAGCCCTTCAGATTAGAGCAGATACTGTCTTATAATATTTTACTGAGTTAAGAATGTGTTGTATATGAAAAATGCTGCAAAACCTGATGACTTTGCCTGCCTTTCTCGCTCTCTGCTTACTCTTTGTTATGTCATGGCTGTTGCAAGAGAGGTACTGATGTTGCTCCTTCACAAGGAGAATTGGGATGCACTGTCACTAACAGGAATTACATCTGAATATGTACACGATCAAATACACCCAGAGTAAATAAACTAACAAATTTAGAGTACATACTTTTTGTCTATCTATTTGCGGAGAATTTGAGAACTTACCTTTGCTTTGCTAATTTAACAGGGGGAGCATTTTACACTCCAGAAACAATTGATACAGCTAGACTGCATTACCGAAACTCCTGGGCTCCCATATTACATGCAGTGGCACTTTGGCTAAACTGTACAGGATTTAATGCTTCAGAGTCAACAGAAGAGACTGCCGCAGCAATGCCCAATTCACAGAAATGTGCAACATCCATTATGTTAAACCAGACACCTGGAACTCCACCTACCACTAAATCTTTGCCGGAGATAAACAAAGATCGAATGCACTTAATTTTGGGTAAGAGTTACAAGTTTAGAGTTCAGTACCAGCATTATGGTATGAAATGGCATGGGAATAAGAAAAGATACTTTGCTTGAAATCTGGGAAGTTTAAAATGGGTCCCATGTCTGGACAGTAATGTTTCAAAATATCTGTCTCATTCTCTCCATATCTCTCTGCCTCCTGTGTTCTTCTTTATAACTTAGACACAATATTTGTTGGTGTGATTATTGTGATTTTTATAGACAAGTTGGATATCTAGTTTATTAATATAATTGAATAAAATGAGTAGGAACTGTTCTATGCTTTAATATAATTCAGATGATACAAAATGTTAGGCTTCAGACACAAAAGCTGTAAAGTTACTAAAGTACACACCCTCATAAAAACACAGTTCAGTAGAGACTGGTATTTGACAAGTCCCATGGAGTAGCTTTTGCATCAGTTTTTCATCTGTGAGTAGCACTTGCTGTTTCCCTTCATTGTTATCTAACAGCTTTAAGAGGTGGATGTGATCACTTATTCTGAGGAATGCCAACAGTTTGCTGAGATATACAGATATTTAAAACCAGAATTAAATGCTGTATGTATAATATGAATATTGCATGATTTTTGAGGCTTAACTTCATCTCAGTTATGTTTACATTTAAAAGAGTTCAGTAAAATAAAACTCAGTTTACAGTGGAAGGATTCAGAAGTCTGACTTGCGGATCTTTAGAACAAAGTGTGGATTGCTATTCAGTAACCTAAGTTGCTTGCTGTCTCTGTTATTTTTCCTCCCAAATTTTGGGGAAGACGTTATGCCTAAGAGAAAGCAAATACAATTCTGCTATTTCTACTACATGAATTCTCTTTTCCTTTAAAGGAGGAAGAATTGAGAAAAACATGTTTCTTTCTGAAGTTAAGAACCTGCTATAATTACAAAGAAACCTAAAAAAACCAACCACCTTGATTTTACAATGTTGTGAACATTCTTTTTAATTATTGCTCTTTTCAGGTGTTAGTATACAGTTTCTATGTTCCCCACGACCTGAAGAGCCTGTTGAGCATGTTACGTCTTGTTTACAAGCACTTCATACTTTATTGGATTCCCCTTGTGCCAGGATCCATATTGCAGAGGATCAGGTAACTGTATGAGTGTGTTGTAACAATCAGCTTTTTCTAGGTCTTGGTCTTTCATCTGTGATGATTACAAAAGCTGTAATTATTTTTGCATGAGAAAAGTGTTCACTCCTCATAAGCAAGTGACATAACAATTAGGAATTGTTATGTCCTAATTAATTTTTTTTAATATGTATTTTGTTCTTTACTGTAGCTCCTTGGTGTTGAACTCTTGAGTGTGCTTCACCGACTCCTCCTGACCTGGGATCCTCCTTCAGTCCAGCTACTGGTTACAGGAGTTGTCCAGCAGATAGTAAGAGCAGCTCAAGATTATTTGCAGGAAAAAAGAAACACTCTAAGTAAGATTTTGAAAACACAGCTTGCTTTGCAGAGTAAATAAGCAACAGGTTTTCATATTGGGAAAGGAACTCAGATACATTAGAGTATAGTTACACTGAAGAGGAAAATGCTGTGTATTCCACAGATACTCTTGATGTGTTCATAATCTTACCTGCTGATTTCTTAACTCTTGTAAGATGTAGTTTTTCTTCCTCTGATCATTCTAGCGGTTATTCTTTTCATGTGCTGGTTTTCATTCATTTTTCTTGAATATGAGTGATGAAAATTATGGCCAGCACACTTAAGGTCTTACTAATACCTTGCTCAGTTTCATTAATACTTGTCTGTCGACTGCCTCCTAGCACTTCATTTACTTTTCTTCTGAAGTTTAATCGTTCAGCCCCCAATGTAGGGTCTTACAGTACGTCCCTAGCACAACTGGCATTCATGAGGTGAGTGAACTGCTGCTGGAACCAATGTGGAAAGTTGCCTGCTCAGGAGATCTTTCAAGGATGTGGAGCAGACTTGCATCTGGGTTCTTTCTTCACTGACATTCAGGGCGTGTCAGCAACCAGGACCTCTGGGAGCAGGGTGTGCAAACAGGAGTAAGGTCGTTGGCATGGAAGGACATGCTCATGCAGCCCAGAAGTGCTGCTCAAGACTGTGCAAGACTGCTGGAGTCAGCATGACGATGGCAATGACATACAGGAAGAGGAAGGAGGAACAATCTGCTGACTGAGGAACAATCACCTCTGGCACATCAGACATCTAATAATCTGGCTTGACATTCAGATGAAAGTCCTGATGTGACTGTCCTCCAGGTGCTTGTCTGTGCAGCCAGGGCTGGATGTGACATTGGTCTCACCTGTGAGATGTGAAGGAAATGCATGTGAAGGTGAACAGCTTGTGTAGCATCAGGAAAGGCCAATCGAAGAATGATGTGTTTTTCATTGAGATCCTGCAGGCACAGGAGCCCGAGCCCATGTGTCACAGAAGGAGAGACAGCCATAGGCTGCACTGCAATATGACCCTGGAGGATGGGACTCCCATGAAGGTGGAGGCTGCAAGGTTGTGAACTCCAGCAACAAAAGACTGTATCTCCAGACATCTAGCTGGAGAACACTATAGGGATACGGCAAGAGGAGAAGAGGAACAAGCTGTCAGGGTAGGTATCTGAGCCAGCCGTCCCTCTTTGACAGCTCAGAACTGATACTGCTAAGAGGAAGTGAAGGCGATGCCAGTCAGGAACACTCTTGTTTGCCACAGGCTGCCTAATCAAGAAGAGGAGATGAGTGAAGCCATATTAAACCAACTGGAAGAAGCCTTCCAATCAAAACTATGGGAGTCTCATGAGAGCCTTTTACCATCCAGACATGTGCTGGAAGGGCACCACTGCAGGATGCTAACAATCTGAAGCTTGCAGAAGCGTCTGAGGCATAGTTTTTTTCAGTGGGAATGATGGACAGTCCAAATAAGGGAGGTGCTCAGTGGATCTGCTCCTCACTAATACAGCAGAAATGGTCATGAACTGGGGCTGTACCAGCCGTAAGATAGTTACGTTTGTGATCCCAAGGGAAATGAGGAAAGCAAGTAGCAGAGCAAAAGCTTTGGGCTGACTTAGCAGACTTGGATTTGTGTAGTGAGCTTGCAGACAAGCTTTCCAGAAGGGCAAAGGAAAGAGAGATGTTTCATCTTTGGTGACAAAAAATAGCTCATCCAAAAGTGCAGGATGCCAGACAGGCATGGCATGGGACTGACTTGGCTGAACAGGAACTTCTGACGGAGCTCAAATGTGACAAGGAAGTGTATGGGTGGTGGAAGATGGGGACAAACTGCCCAGGAGGACTGCTGAAGACGTCTGCTCAGGCATGGAGGAGTGGAATTAGAAAAGCCATGATTTGACTGGACCTAGGAGTGGTGATGAATGTTAAGTGTGATAAGAAAGGCTTTTGTAGATCCCTTGGCAGCAAAAAGACTGGACCTGCTGCTCAGTGAATTAGGTGATATAATGACAAAATACGTCAGGGAGAAACTGAGGCACTATTATCTTCTTTGCTCAGTCCTTCTGTGTCTATGAGGAAGTTTAGGGGAGAGAATTGCTACCTACAGCAGATGAGCATTAGGTTAGGGACCGCTTAGGTAAAAGCTGAACATACCCTGGGACCAGATGGGATGCATCTGAGGGAGCTGGCTGATGAAGTGCTGAGGCTGCTTGCAGTCATCTTTGAAAAGCTGTGGTGCTCAAGATCGTGATACCAAATCGTGCAAGTGGTGGATACGCTGCAGGGCAGTGCTGCCTTTCAGGGGAATCTCAAGCTGCAGGAGCCAATTTAAAGACAAATGCAAAATCCTGCATTTGGTATGGGGTAACCCCGTGCATTGGTATAGGCTGAGGAGCTGACAGACTGGATAGCAGATACGCCAGATAACAAGGTGAATGTGAATCTTTGGTGTGCCTGTACAATGCTTAACACTGTTACTGGACTGCATTAGAAAAGCATGACCGGTAGATTAAGGGATATGATTTTCCTTTCAACTTGAGCTTGTGAAGATGCATCTGGAGCAGTGTCTAGTTTTCTTTGCCCTTCTCCCTCACCCTGAATAAGAGGGATGTTGACAAACTGAAGGAATTCCAGTGGAGGTCCACTAAGCTGCTTAAGGAGATGAAGTCTGTGACACATGAGGAGAGGCTGAGAGAGCTGAACTTGTTTAGTCTGCAGAAGAGAGGGTTAATATGGGATAGAATAGCAATTCCGCTTCTTAAAGAGGATTTAAAGAGAAGACCGATCCAGACTCTTCTGAAAGGCATATGATGGAAGGACAAGAGGCAATGGACACAAGTTGCAGCAGTGGAAATCCAGACGGGATACAGGGAAAAAATTTGTCACCATGGGAGTGGTGAATCAGTAGAACAGGGATGTTGTGGCATCTCCATGCTTGGAGATATTAAAAACTGGACCAGCCCTGAGCAACCTGCTCTAATTTCAAGTTGGCCCTGTTTTGAACAGGAGATTGGACTTTGTCGTGGGTTAGGCTGCTCTGGCAACCAAACCCTACACAGTTGCTCACTCACCCTCCCCCACCCCCAGGGACGAGGGAGAGAATTAAAGGAGAAACGGGAAACCCACGGGTTGAGATAAGAACAATTTAATACAGATAAGTACTACACAGTGTAGATGCTCACCACCCCCTCTTATCCAAAGCCCGTCTCGTCCTGAAGCTGCAATCCCGGACGAACACGAGGCCCCGAAATAGAAAGGGAGAGAGAGAGAGAGTACTCTGAGAGTGGGAGTACTGGAAGAGAGAGGGGGGAAAAAAAGGCAATAGAGCAAAGGTGCAGAAAAGTGAAAGAGCAAAAGCACTAAAAGCCCTTCTTTCCAGCTGCCCCTCACTTTTATACTGGGCATGACGCTGCATGATATGGAATACTAATTGGCCAGTTTGGCCTCAATCTTAAGTTCCACCACAAATCACAAGGGGAATTGTGGGCTCCTTGTCCCAGCTATGCTCCCCCCTTATCCCGCCGTGCTTCTGCACTCCAGCACACTGAAAAGTCCTTGGAGTCTCACGTCCAACCACAAACATCAGCATGCTATCAGCATTCTTCTCAGAGCGAGCCTCTGAGTAAAACCAAAACACGGAGCTCTTCTAGCTGCTAAAAAGAAGAGCTAACGCTGTCCCAGCTAAAACCAGGACAGACTTGGATGATTGATGGAGGTCCCTTTCGACTTAAATTTTTCTGAGATTTTCTGATGAGTTGATATACCTAAATCTTGTTCCTCGACTTTGCCTTTATTGAGTTTTAGTAGAACTAATTCTTTCTTATTTTATCCCCACTGCTTCTGCTACGATATTTCAGTTTCTGATGTTTTGCTTAGGCTTTTCATCAGCATAATTTGTTAGTTTGTTTCTACTTTATGCAAGAATATCCTTGATAAGGATGTTAGCATAAGTCCAAAAGCTACTTTCTGAGGTACTTTTAGTAACCTCTTCCTTTAACAGACCATCTCCCAGTTCAATCATCCCTTTACCATTTCTTTAAAATTTCGTGCGGGATGTACTGTTTCCATCTTTGCCAGGTAAATTAGTTTCCAAGTGGCAACCTAGCAATTAATTCATTGATCTCTGGTTAGGTTAGGTTTGCCATATTTTCTTTTACTTGAAAGAAGTAAAGTAAACCTCAAAAAAATATTCTTTTACTAAGGAAAACTACCATCTTAGTCTGGCACAATACACTGTTGAGAAAAAAAAACCCAACACATTAACTTTTACCCATTTTCCACATAAAGACAGAGAGAGGATTTTGCTGGAAGTTGGGGAACCAGCACAGCTAAAAATGCAAGCTCTGTTCCTTCATATGAATTAATTGAATTGTTTACTGAAAGCCCAGTAAGTCGCATATTTCAAATCAGTGGATGTTATAACACTAGCAGTCATTTAAATTCATAGGAGCTCCATAGGAGTAGTTCAGGCCAGCTTTGACTTACTGAATCTCTGTTGCCATTTAATGGGAGAAGGAAAGACTGCAGCTGGCCAAGCTGCCATTCAAAAGAGAGACTTTTTGAACTGAATGCACTGAAATCATTAACTCAGACATAGAATCCTACAATGCTTTTCTGTTCTCTTATTTCATAATCAATTTAGGCTGAAATTAGATTTTGTCAGGGTGGAACATTTAATTAATAGCCATTAAATTAAAAAAATATTGTCATGCCTATTTATTTGGCAATGATTGCTGCGAATTTTACAATCAGTTTTAAAAGAAGCAAAATAATCCCTGCATTTTTATTTGGTGTAAGTATTCCTACTTTTTTTCTAGTTCTGGATGGATTTTTAAGTATTGTTGCAATCACAATACTTCTAAAGCATTTTAAATCCCTTTAAGTCATTCCAACTAAAACATTTAGTTTGACTTGAGCCATGTTTGTCGTATCTTACTGTGAAGCAACTTTTTCCTCTTGATTTTTAACTTTTTTTAAAAGGCTGTTTAATGTAATATTTGGTATGGGATCCTTCTTAACTGTCTCCTCAGACATTTCTTTCCGTTTTTCAGATGAAGATGACATTGAGGAAAAAGAAAATCCTCTTGCTTTAGGAGAGGGAGGTGAAAGTGGTGGTCTTGTGCCTGGAAAATCTCTCGTCTTTGCAGCCATGGAATTGCTCATGTTTATCCTAGTACGGCACATGCCCCATCTGAGTTCAAAAGTGTCAGATTCTCCAAGTCACATTGCTACCAAATCCCACCTCTCTGACGAAAGTGCTCGTCTTGTGGCTGCCACTGTTACTATACTGTCTGACCTACCTTCTCTATGTTCTCCAGCAGGTAAGATAGTGTAATAAAATACACGAGTGGTTACTGTAGGGGAAATGTAGTGAGCATATGATACTAAAAGCAAGCGAAATATATTTTCATGGGATACTTTAAGGATCATCTATTGAAAATAACATTTAGGTTTTAAAACAAATGAGGAATTCAGGCTTTTCCAGTGAGCAACATAAGGGAAATTATTTGATTATAAGTTTTCGTATGTGCTGCATGTTTGGTGAGGAAGTGAGCTCTATAGCACTACAATTTTATTGTTCTTTTTTTTTTCCCTTCCTTTTTCATGATTTGAAACCTTTTGGCCAATTTTAATGATACTGTTAAAGAATAATCATATTGTAAAAGAACATAAGCATCTCAGAGATAATTGAATTCCTGAGAAGTTCATGGAAAGTAGCAGCTGGATGAAAAGAGAATCCTACTGAGGGAAAAAGAGCACAATTCAGCTGTGATACACTTGATTTTGCAGCCATTGGCTGTCAGTCATCCCAAATGTGACTCGAAATGGAGCTTTCTTCTGCCCAGGGAGACTGTCACAAAGGATATGTGTAAACTAGGGTGATTGTGCTGTGTGAAGTTAAGGAGTAAAGGACACAATTACATGGGAAGCTGTGCTCTTTGAGTTTTGCTTTTCAGAGAACAAATTGCTTAAGAGTTGTCCTGAGGACCTCTGGGAAGTTTCACACAGTGATGTAGATGAGACGTTTTAGAGGTTAGTCCCTTAATGAGAGATGCATGGTAAATAACATATTTGAACAAAGTTATGCTCAGAACAGAACATGGACTTGTCCTCAAATGGATAATTTGTGTCCTACAGTTCTTAAAAGAATAGTAGGTTTTGAGCTGATCTGGAGTCCTGCCTTGTTTTTATTTGATTCCTGGTTCTTTTTCCTTTCTCCCTTTTTTTTTTTTTCGAGGGAGTGGGACAGTGTAGGACAGGCAGAAAGAGTAATGGTACTACTTCTGTGTTGACTGGAGTGAAGGCATGACTCCCAGCATTTGGCAAGTGGCTGGTGAAAGTATCTCAGAAACTATTGTTAGTCTACGGACACTGCTGGAGTTGTTTTTTTTCCTCATCCAGAAGATGTAGCCAGCTGATAGCTATAGGGAGGGGGGGATAGTGTATGCACAACCATTTGTGTTAATTGAGACTTTAGATGTAACGGAAACTATAATCAGTTTAACTATAATCAGTATAAACGGAAACTTTCCATACAAGACAAAGGAGACACCAAGATAAACTGCAATTCAGGTAACAAGTGATATGTGCCGTTCAATATTTTATCACCAAATTAATTCATCAGTACTAATGAAGCATATCATAACACAAGTCATACAAGCCAATACTTAAAATGTTGCTGTTCATTCAGGAATGATGGTTTAGCTATTAAACTATATTGGGAAAGCTAAAGAGGTTATCTACCACACTTGTTGGAATTAACTTCAGAAATTCTATTTTTTTCTTTTTTAGGATGTATGACAATCTTGCCCACTATCCTATTTCTGATTACAAGAGTACTGAAAGAAACAGCAGTAAAATCAGCAGATAATCAGGTCCCACCTCCAGTCAGTGCAGCCCTTCAAGGGATAAAAACTATTGTTACTCTTCCAACAGTCAAGACTGATGAAACTCAGAAACAATGGACAGGTCTTATCCGCAGCACTCTGGCATCTATCTTGGAATACTCTCAACCTGGTAAGTGGTTTCTCAGTGCAGGGGAGTTAAAATAAGAAAACTGACTTTTGCTGTAATGAAAGGCCAGTATTGTATCTGCCTATAATTTAATAGGCTTCATGTCTGAGGGCTGGGGATTAAAAGTGGTTGTATGAGTTGCTTGTGAAATTGAAACGGGAGAAAGACCTCAGTGCACAGAGCATAACTAATCAGAGTTACTTGACAGGTTGTGTTGAAGACTCAATGCTGTGCACAGCATTGGCTTTAAGAAAGTACAGTTATATCTCAGGAGTTCCCATCCCAGATTTGTCCTTGTTGGTTTGTTTTCTTTGACAATATTGATCATAACCTCCTATTAGAAATTTTGCTTTTTGCAACTCATCTTGCAGCCCTGCCCCCGCCTCAGGTCCTTTCTGTAGTAGTTCAGACCTTTCCGTTTTGAATCCCATTATTATGTGATTATTTCATGCTTTAGATTTTTTTTTCAAACTGACCTTGCCAATATTCATAGTTTCAGCTACTGCCTTGTTTCTGGAACTTGGAAATCTACCTTCTCATATCGATTGATCTTTCTGCTGAATGTCTTGCAAGTAAAATCTAGAGGAGTTCCAAGCTGAATTCACTTCACTTCCTGGACCTTGCCTCAATTTCTGTGACTACTGGCAACTCTAGACATGTTGGCAAGGCCTGAGCAAACTATCATTTCCACCCCTCTTTTCCTCTTTCCACAGAATACCTGCTAGCTTAAAGGAGATTTTAGTTGCCAAAACAGTGTTTGTAAAGGAACTGATCTCTTTACTGAAACGGTAATTGTTCATTGCTATACATGGACTCAACACCTCGAATTAAACCTCAAGAAAAGTGGCAATCTGTGTATGTTTAAAGTGTTTACTGACACAATTCATATAGTGTCAACGACAGTAAGTGTTAAAGTGAATGAGTGTGAAGGCAGGAGGGATAATTGCAGCAAGGTTCATACTGGAGTAGGATATTCACAATACTGTTACAACCTTTCAGTGGTGAGAAAAAATCCTACCGCTGCCAAAAAACAAATCTATTACCCACCAGCAGGATGTCTACTGTGTCTCTTTAGAGAACTGCAGACTACTTCTGGTTCACATTCGTACTTTGCCTTGCCCTTCAAAAAGCAAAGATGATGTACAGTCTCAGCTGTGTAGTTAGCAAAAGAAAGACACCAAGATTTGTCATTTGCATAATGGTAGTTCAGCCAAAAAACATCCCATTATGTCCCCAAGGAGCCACTTCCAGAGACTGAAGAGAGACTTGAATGGAGTTACTCATGTGAGAGATAGGGAGCGAGTAGGTAATTGCAAACTATCCTGAAAACGTCTGAAGAGGAAGGATCAGTAGATTTGTGTTAACCAAGTCAAACTTCTAATTTGATTTGTCACATCAGCTCTTGTCTTCCAGCTTTTTGTTACTGTAAAGATTTCCCAGTCCCTCTTTCCAGAAACATTACTGGCTTTAGACGTTTTTGCAGACTTCAGAAATCTTTGTTGTTTCCTTGCAAGAGTGTATGTTTTCCTTTTCCTTTCCAATCTGTGGAGTGGGACACATCACAGAAGAATCAATCTACGAAAGGTCTACTGCATACGATTTCAAGTCTCATAATTCAATAAAATTTAAACTTTTTTTTTTTTTTACTTTGTCATTTAAAATGCTTGGAGTAGTTTTTTGAAGGGGAGTTTCATGTGATGGCTAAGCCAATTGAGTGAGTAGCTGACATCTGTAAAGGGCATTCATGCTGTTTTTCTTTTGCTGACTATGTGTCTGCTGTTTCTTTGTGCCTCTCAAAGGAGAGCAGAACCACATACAACCAGCATAACAGTATTTTATATTATAATAGTTATACATAATTTTTTTTCCTGTTGATGTAAATTCATGAATGAGATCTGTGAAGACAGAGCTTGTGGAAGGGAAAAAAGGATGACAATGGCAAATACAGAGTATTTGAAAAGGAGGAAAGATTAAAGTAGGACTATTCTTATTGGTGACAGGTAGCTATCAGATCAACTAGTCTGTTATGTGAAACCTCATGTTAAGTAAAAGTTGTCGCCGTGCTAGATACCAGTTTCTTACTCTGCTATATCAGCTGAAGAGACTAAAAAAAAAAAAAAAAAAAAAAAAGCAAAGTATATTTTTAATGGGGAGAAGATAATGAAAAAGTATGTTTTTCCTCTCTTGTTTGCACATTGAAAATAAAAAATATGACTTGGTCAGAGAAAGTGTGGGTCATGTTTTTTCCTTGATATTTAAGTTTTATTAAGATAGCTTTGCAATTCTGTTCTACGTTATTTCAGTCAGTCAATAATGATAAAATGATTCTGTAATAAGTAGATGTATATTTGTATGCAGTTGCAAATAATTTCAAGTACATTTATTTTCTCTTTGAGTTTATCTGCATTCACTGGCTTTACTAAATGAATTCTAAACTCTTTTTAGACTAAACTGACAACATGTTTGTTTTTGTTTTTCAGAAGCCTCTAAGCCTATTCTTGATGAAGTAAGCGTACTTACAGCTATTGCTCTCTTCCTTTGGTCAGCAAGCACTGAAATAATTGGAGTGCAGTCTTTACAAAATGGATGTATGAACAGATTTAAAAGTGCATTAAATTCCTGTGATCCTTGGGTAAGATCATGTTATAGGAACGTGAATGATATGTAGCTGAGAAAAAATAATTGTGATATATTTACTGTATCTCCTGAATGCTTTGTGATGCCTTTACTTCAGAGACAGATACTGCTTGTCAAAATAACTAGAATTTTCAACAGTGCATTATAGAAACACTTTAGTGAATAAAACAACCCAAACTAAATGTTTCTACATAATGTGTGTTCATGGCCTTGTGCCAGGTTCTTGACTTGCAGCTTTTTAGAAAGAAAAAAAATCTTTATGTAAAATTTTAGCAAATGAAAAGGTTAGTTACCAGAGTGTTGACATTTCTACATTAATGCTGATCTTTTGTAATACAAATGAAACCACTTTTTTCTGTAGATAAAATTACAGCCCACATTTCTGATGAATTTTATATTTGTTAGTGCAAAACTGGTGCTTATTTTACCTGTTCATGCAAAACTCAGTTTGAGTACAGAAATGTAATTTTGCGATCACAATCAGAACATCTATAGATTGTGAATCATCTGTCTCCTGATTTCAATTCTGCCCTTTGCTTTTGTCTTTGAATGATCTTCTAAATTTGATTTCAATTCTGCCCTTTGCTTTTGTCTTTTTGAATGATCTTCTAAATGATTTTCTCACTAAAGAGGGAAACTAAAAGGTTGTAGACTGACTTTGTTCAAGCAGGCTAGCGCGCTGTATAGTTAAGCTTAACTATTCCAGCCATGTGTACATCAGTTTAAGTGGGTATACAAATCTGCAGGTGGGAGCTGAAGAGAAGAATCTACAGTGTTTCCACAAGTAAACACTGCAGAGATTCCTGAGACGAAAAACATGCAAAAAATGCTGATGTGTTTAGAGTCACAGTGAGGCATTTAAAATCCTGTTTAGACTGATAGTTCTTTTCTGCAGCAGGGCTGGCGTTTTACAGCATGGACATAAAATTCAGTTGGTTCTGAAGCCTGACTACGGGTGGAAAGCTACTTAAAATTTTAGTGTGTGAATGGAAATGTCAGTTGTATTAAGCAGAAACATTTATTTCATACTCTTTCTCAACTCTGTATAAACACATGAACAGTGAGAGGAGTACATCTTTGCCCACCACCCTGCTGGAAAGCTGTCAGGGAGCTGGAACTTAGTGCTATTTTTGTAATTCACGGAGAATGCTTTGACCGCAGCCAGACTGTGACCACTCTCCCTATCTCCCTGCTGATGTGCAGAACATACACTCTGTAATACTTGTCGTGTGTTCGTTCTAGTTTTTGAAATATAAAACACATGTTGTCGGGGTCAGTAACCAGACACCTGTTTGTAATAAGAGCATTATACTGATTGTACTAAAAGCATTGAAACGCTTGTGGAAAATGCTATTCTAAAGAAATACCACTACCTCATAAGAAATACAGAAGTACTTTTAAAACTATGACCACCTGCAAAAGTCTAAAAGGTTAGATATCATTTATAGTGATAACCAGAAGGCTGGTGAGCTCAATTTCATTTTGCCCTGACAACAGAACTTAGTTGAGAGACCCTTGTCTGTCAGTGCTAATGAGTAAACTTTACAGGAGAGTATTCCTTACCTGCTTTGAAGAAGCCCCAGTTTTACCTCACAGGAGCTTTTGTAGACTTCTGTGAATGTAGAATAGTCAAAAGATTTATATGATATAGATGGAATAAAAAAAGTTTGGATGAAATTCTGCTGTCAGATGCAGTAATAAAACTCTTACTTGAATTACGCATGCATGTAAGAAAAGACTTTTACACCTTATTTTGAAGGCTGATAATCTTAACAGCTAAGAAGGAGTAAAGTTTAAAGAATGTAGACAGAAAGGGAAGGGAATGACTTGGAGTGATATGTATATAGAGAGAAATAATTTGTTGAAACAGGTCAAAGATGACGCTGAGTAAGGCATTAGGATAAAATGTTCTTCCAGGGAGCTCTGTTAGAAAGCATAGAAACGGTATTAGAAGAAGTGTTACTACTTCAGGCCATAAAAATTGATTTGTATAGAAAACTTGCAGCCATATACTAGTGAAGTAACAGTGAGCTGAGCTGCTATAACTTATATTTTCTTACTATTAGTTTTTATTATCTATCATTTTTATTCAATATTTTTATTTATGCATCTACGTTTCCAGTCATTCCCAGATCTCCTCACAGATCATTGTGTTCAATAATACTTCCTCTAGAATGTTTCTGTTCAGTATGTGCTCAGTAACTCATCCTGTTTGGACTGGAGTGCAGTTTGAAAGCATGTGCAATGTTCTATTGTATTTGTTGTGAGGCTTTTACCTTTTCAAAAGTTCTGGGTTATTTGTGTGGGATTTTGGAGGAAGATTTTTGTACACCCAAATAAAATGCATTCATAAGTTCATCTGAACAAGATCATCAGTGAGTTATTTTCCCAAACGTTGACTTTAATAATCCCTGCTTTCCAGAGAAAAGAGGGAGAGAGGAAAAATGAAAATAGAAGGAAGGCAAGGAGAGAGTTCTGTGATCCAGCTAGCTGTATGGCTACACATATACTCCTATGCTACTACCAGGTGAAGAATAAGGAAGGACAGACAAGCCTGTCACTTTTGGCTACAACCCTGGCTTATAGAGCAGTAATCATAGAATGGTTTGGATCGGAAGGGATCTTAAAGATCATCTAGTTCCAAACCCCCCTGCCATGGACAGGGACACCTTTCCCTAGATCAAGTTGCTCAAAGCCTCATCCAGCCTGACCTTGAACACTTCCAGAGATGGGGCAGCCACAACTCCTCTGGGCAACCTGTTCCAGTGCCTCACTGCCCTCAGAGGGTACAATTTCTTCAATAAGATCACTTTAATCTGATCTGAGTAATTTTTATGGGCTGTTTTAGCTTTCTGGGGATTGGGATAGCATTTCCTGATTTTGCAGATTCATTTACTATTAGTGCTGATAGTTCTGAGACTTAAAGATGTAGTTCTCTGTGAACCTGTGTGACTGACTTGTATGACATTAACTATTCCTTTATTTTCTCTGAGTTCATATTGTTAATAGCATTTAGTACCTCCATGTTCTTTCTCACTGGCTTTCCTTTTATTGAAAACTGGGCTAATTGTTATTTAGTAGATAGACTGTGTTGCTGCTTTCCCCTTACTCGATATGTTTCCTTCCCCTTTAGTCGTCTTTTTTTTTTTTATGGTATCGTGTCTCTTGCATACACAGATAACAGTTTATTAGAATTCCCTGAGTTAACAAATAACTTCCAGGACAATGTATTTATCTTGATTTGGTTAGGTTCAAGCCAAGTGTTACCAGCTTCTGCTTTCTGTGTTCCAACACACCAATCGTGCCCTGTCAACTCCATATATTCATTCGTTGGCCCCTATCATGGTTGAGAAGTTGAAAGCTGTGGAAAGGAGCCGCCCGAACAACAACCTGGAGCTGTTAGCAGTCCAGGAAGGAATTAAAGTCCTTGAAACGTTGGTTGCCCTTGGTGAGGAGCAGAATAGTAAGTATTTTGTTTTTCTAGAGAAATGTGTAATGCTAAAATAGAATATTGAGAATTGGAAGTCTTGCAGTTAGGAACTTGATGGCATAGTCACAGATAGACCGTGTCTGTGCCACGTACTTTTGTAATTCCAGTACTAGAATTTTGTATACATGGACTTGTATGGCACATTACAGTGTGATATGCTATAGCCTTTGTATTTCTGATGACTGAAGGAAAAAAAAAAAATCTACACATGAACTACAGTAGTGAGTGGTATTTTCTTCTGTTTGAAAACGAGTAGTTCACACCATTTAAATTTACTTTTTCCCATTGTTAACTTCTGTTTATTTTAGCAGACTCATCACTTTTATCTGGTTGCGTCTACCAGCTCAACAAAGTTTATCTAAAAACCCCAAGAAACTGAATTGTACTGGTCAGAATATCTTAATTGTAGATGGAGCCTCCTGTTTGCTTCAGTAAATAGAATACAGTATTTATAGTTTATCTTTAAGTTCAGTAGTCTCTAACTGAAACTGCATTTTCTAAAGACTTACTCTGCAGACATTTGGCTTTAAATGCTGATAAAGTTCCTTAAAAAAATATCACTGTTGGTTTTGTGTGGTCGTGTATCCCCCCAACATATGCTACCTGTTGGTATTTTTCTTCATTGATGATAAAACACTAAATCCATGTTTTCTTGAGCCCCATTGTGCTTCTGGCACGGTTGTTTGAAACGCATTTAAAATGAGAGAGTAACTGGAGTGAATGAGGAAACAACGTCTGATTTTTTGCTAATGCTGGCTGGAGACAATCACCTGATGAGTATGAATTTAGTCAAAACCTTTACGGGAGAATCATTAATGCTTTGATAACCTACAAAATTTTAGATAAATGAGTTACCATTAATGTTGAACTACTTTGAGCTTAAAATTTACAATTAACATGTTACATGTTTCAAAGGCATACTTGTATCCTTGCTAGATAGAAAAATTAGCCCTATTGTTTTAAGTTCAGCTGCTTTTTTTGTTCTAAAGATAAACCCTGTTGATCCCTGTGCCATTTTGGGCTGTGGTCTTACTAGGTCATGCTAGCCCAAGGATAGCTGCAGTGCTAGTTTTTGGATTGGAATCTTCCAGGATGGAGTAATATAGCAGATAACCGTCCCTGACTTTTTCATGAACACTTGCATACTAATAGTGGTTCTGTTATGCTCGCTGAGAGGCTGATATTCAGATTCAATTTAATAGTGTTTCTGTCTGCCTGAAAAGTGTTTTTAAATCCTTTAATATGATAGGTGCTCTACATCTTATCATCTCTTAGAAATGATCTGCAATCAGATGGTGCAAAGGCATCTTTAAAGAAGTGTCAGGAATAAAATAACTGTGATGAACAATAATAGAAATCTGAAACACAATTTTAGTGACCAAAGAATAGGAAACCATATACATTTCAGTTGTTTTTATTTTTTTTTCATTACAGTGTTTGTTGTCAATTCTGAAACAAAATTACCCTTATCAGTTTTGTAACTGATAAAATTAATTTTCTTTTGTTTTCTTCTGTGATACAATTATTACATTATTTTTTTTCTTTCCTTTCACTTTTAGGAGTCCAGTTGCTTGCCCTTCTTGTTCCCACTCTGATCTCCTATTTACTGAATGAAAATGCCTTTGCTTCTGCATGTACAGCATCTAAGGATCTTCACGAATTTGCACTTCAGAATCTAATGCACATTGGTCCACTTTACCCACATGCTTTCAAGACAGTAATGGGAGCTGCTCCTGAATTAAAAACACGTCTAGAAACTGCAGTCCGAGCAAGTCAGGCCAGCAAAGCAAAAGCAGCTGCTAGGCAACCACCACCCACAGTACATTCCACCCCAACAATTAAACTGAAAACTAGCTTTTTTTGAATTACTTGTATTATTTTTGGACCAATAAGTAGTCAGAAGCATTACATTGTCCCCAATGTGTTACTGTGTATATGTCTGTAATTTTGCGTAATTTGTACGTGAAAGGCTGTCTAATAGAGCTTTACGTAATCACTGGAAATCCATGCGTTACAAGGGAAGTGGTGTTACTTGTATTTGTATAGATTTTTAGGAAATTGAATGTGATCATATTTATGAATTTGTGTTATAAATTATCCACCCGAAACTCCTATTCTCTATCTGACTAAATAGTTTTATTTATTTTTAAAAGCTACCCCAAACCTTTGAGTGTTTTTTTTAAATCTGGTGATTGTTATCCTACCATTGTGCAAACACCCTAACACAGTGGGGACAGAGGGAAGAGGGGAAACTGTTATGCATACTTACCAGGTACCATGGGGAATGTCAAGTGTAGAAGTATGCACTTTTTCCTTTCAAAAACGGAGTAGGGGCGGGGATTGTCAGACCTTGTAGATCATTTCAGCTTGCATGAAAAAAAACACAGAATTGAAAATTTTCAGCCTTTCTCAAAAGTGAACGATCAAGCATGCTATCTTAATGAGTTGTCCTTATTTGTGTGGTGTGTATTTCTTTCAGATCCGTTTCCATGCTTGAAAATTAATAAAGGATGTAAAGAATCTAATCCCCTATCTCTTCTAAGATAAATTTTAAACAATACATTGGAAATTGAGTTTATAAAGAGAACCGCCTGCTCTCTGCATTTTTGTAGGTGTAGATTTTGGCCCTTTTAAGGTGCTGTGTGTTAGCAGTCTTCCTGTTCTGCCAGACACTGGTTGAATATGGTGATTCAGGGCTCTGCTCTTTGTCCAGCCTCCTAGGTATTTAACCTTCCTGCACGATTTTAGTCTCGTTGGATATATCTTACCTGTAGTCCTTGATAAAGTTTGCAGAGCCAGATTACCTGAGCGCTTTGCACCTGTGCTGACTAAAGGACCAGAACATGAG